GAGAGTCCCAGTCTGTCCAGGTCATAGTTGTCCCAAAGGTGCTTTTTTCCAAGAGGCAACTGGAGCTTTCTTGTTTTTTCTTTGAAGACGTTTCGCTTCTCCTCCAAGAAGCTTCTTCAGCTCTGACTGGATGGTGGGGAATGGAAGGGTTTATAGTCCTTGCAGACCAACACTGGGTGGCTACAAGGAATTAATATGTTCTGGGTTTCTTTGTAGTGTAGCTGTCATCCAGCTGTTTAAAGTTTAGATATGAGAACATGGGATTAAGCAAAAAAAGGAACAGAAGAGACAACCGTTTGTAGATTTATTTAACTGATAATTGGTCAAGCCACCCTTATCTAGCTTGAGAAGAATTCTGGAAATTTAGATTGGTGAAATCTCTACTCCATTTTTAGACCCTTGGGGATCTTTTCTTTCTCTCTTCCTTCCTTCCTTCCTTCCCTCCCTCCCTCCCTTTCCTCCCTCCCTCCCTCTTTCTCTCCCTCTCTCTCCCTCCCTCCCTTCCTTCCTTCCCTCCCTCCCTCGCTCTCTCCCTCCCTCCCTCCCTTCCCTCCCTCTCTCTCCCTCCCTCCCTCTCTCTCTCTCTCCCTCCCTTCCTTCCCTCCCTCCCTCCCTCCCTTCCCTCCCTCCCTTCCTTCCCTCTCTCCCTCTCTCTCTCCCTCCCTCCCTTCCTTCCCTCCCTTCCTCTCTCTCTCTCCCTCCCTCCCTTCCTTCCCTCCCTCTCTCCCTCCCTTCCTTCTTTCCTTCCTTCCCTCTCCTCCCTCCCTCCCCCTCCCTCCCTCCCCCTCCCTCCCTCCCTCCCTCCCTCCCTCCCTCCCTTCCTTCTCTCTCTCTTTCTCTCTCTCTCTCTCTCTCTCACATACACACACACACACACACACACACACATGCATTAGGCTGCTGTACACATTGTATTTATATGGTTCCTGGTTGGATGCAACTTTTAATTGTTAACTGGGGTGTTGACGGCTGGCTGTTTATTAAGCCATTAATTGTAACTTCCTTGTGCCCTTGGCTCTTAAGCTCCTGATAGGCTGTGGTAAATCAATGATCTGCTGACTGACAAGAGGCCCATTTCCCAGGCTTCAATCATTTCTCTGGCTATTTTCGAACCTGTTTGGCCAACAATCGTCCTAGCTCCTTATACTTATGGACTGTCCGACGATAAGGACAGCAGAGAACATTTGTAGCTTGATGGAGTCCTTGGTGCTCTCTGAGCTTGGTTGTTTTCCTGCACATATTTTATTGCCCAACTAGCTAACATCCTCAGTGCTAGACGGGAGTAGGGTTTGCTCTCATGTCATATACTCACGGCTTGTCCTATCAGCGTTGGTGGGAGTGGTCTTGGGTGGTCCCTTGACTGGGCTATTGTTTACCGTAAGTAAGTCACCAGAAGAATCTTTAACACGTTTCATAAAGGCTTCGTAAAGAAACTGGGGTTTGGGTTTCAGTTTGGGCACTCGGTCTCTAAAAGGTTCGCCTTCACGGTTCTAGGCTGATGACTCCCTTATCTCTGCCCCCCTACCTTGGCCTGCTCTTCTCCTACAAACACACACCTGCCTGCCACAGAGGCAATTTATACCAATATCCTGAGTGTCCACATTCTCTGGGAAGTCTCCTTCAGAGACTTGAGGGGTTTCCTCCACAACCTTTCAAGAAACTTTACATTTGGAAGCAGCTGATGAGTATGCAAGTATGTTTAATTTCCCCACTGGAACATGGAATCGGCGCTGCCACCCAAATTTAATAACATGAAATCCTTTCGGGAGAAGCTTGCCCTTAAATTAAATAAAGGTCACCCTAGTCAGGACTTCCAAAGCTCATGCTGAGACTCAATTATCCCACAGGAAAGGGCCAGAATACCATCTGTTCATTTTTCAGGAAAGATCCTTGCCCTGTTCTTCAGACAGTTTAATTAAGGCAGCGTGATGTGGAGATGTTCCCTGTGGCGAAAGACAATAAAATCCATAAAGTTCGATTCAGTTGTGACAAGTGATGTGAAAACAAGGGACATCTGTTGACCCAACTCTCTGGAATATTTGGGCCTAAGAGTTGTGATGCCTCCAGACCAGGAAGGGTGGATGGGAGCTGTAAAACAATCCAGCCACACAACGATTGTGCTGGAAAATGCTTTCTAACCATTAGTTAGAGAGTCCCGAGTTTGCCAAGTTTCCATTGAATGAAATCAATAGATTAGAATATCACACTAGTTGCTTTCTACATTCTGCCTAGTACAACTTCAAAGAGCTCCCGTTACAGTATCGCCTAGTAGGACTAACAATATGGAAGACCACAGGTCCTGCAATAGATCTAATTATCTATAAAAGAGACTCTTTGTAGGTCAGGGTTGAATTGAGCTGTTGATTCCTTGGTGCTCTCTGAGCTGGGTGGTTTTCTTGCGGATGTTTCATTACCCAAACTAGGTAACATCAGTGCACTGATGATGTTACCTAGTTTGCTAATGAAACGTCTGCAAGAAAATCACCAGGCATAGAGAGCACCATCTAACTATCTCAAGCTCTTATTTACCCAAGTGATCTGTAATAAGTGGATAGCTAATTTTTCAAACGTACGTCCTTATATAATGTCTTCAGGGAACTATTTTTTAAAAAAGTAGATGGACATAGAAATGGAGTCCCTCTGTGACGGTAATGGGTGGTTAAAAGATAGAGGATGGGGGGATGGAGAGAGAGAGAGATGTAGGTAGGTAGGTAGGTAGGTGGATGATAGATAGATAGATAGATAGATAGATAGATAGATAGATAGATAGATAGATAGATAGATAGTTTGAAGGGATCTTAGAGGTCTTCTAGTCCAACCCCCTGCTCAAGCAGGAGATCCTATGCCAGCAATGGCGAACCTTTTAGAGACTGAGTGCCCAAACTGCAACCCCAAACCCACTTATGCATCGTCGAGTGCCGGGTGGGTGTGGCCCATTGGCTGGGCATGGCCCATTGGCTGGGCATGGCCCATTGGGTGGGTGTGGCTGCGGTGGTAACAGCCAACTGGGTGGGACTAAAAAGTTCAATCAATCAATTCCAACTTTGCAAGATCTTTTTTTTTCCCGCGAGAAGTTGAAATTGACTGATTGAACCTTTTTTTTTTTGCACACGGCGGCAGAGGCCTAAAGCGAAAAGGTTTTATAAAACCCAGCTGAAGGCCTAGGACTGGGGCGACGGCATGCGTGCCCACAGAGAGGGCTCTGAGTGCCACCTCTGGCACCCGTGCCATAGGTTCGCCACCACTGCCCTATACCATTCCAGACAAGGGACTGTCCAATTTCTTCTTAAAAAATCTCCAGTGTTGGAGCACCCAGAACCTCTGGAAGCAAAACATTCCACTGGTTAATTGTTCTCACTGTCAGGAAGTTTCTCCTTAGTTCTAGGTTGCTTCTCTCCTTGATTAGTTTCCATCCGTTGCTTCTTGTCCTGCCTTCAGGCGCTTTGGAGAACAGCTTGACTCCCTCTTCTTTGGGGCAGCCCCTGAGATATTGGAACACTGCTATCATGTCACCCCTTTCCACGACTAGACAAACCCAATTCTTGCACCTGTTCTTCATATGTTTTACCTCCAGCCCCCTAATTATCTTTGTTGCTCTTTTCTGCACTCTTTCCAGAGTCTCAACATATTTTTTTTTATATCATGGTGTCCCGAACTGGAAGCAATACTCCAAGTGTTTCTTGCTAAGGCTTTATATTGGGGTGCTAATACTTCATGTGCTCTTGATTCTATCTCTCTATTAATGCAGTCTAGAACTGTGTTGGCTTTTTTTTGGCTGCCTGCACACACTGATGGCTCATATTTAAGTGATTGTCCACTAAGACTCTGAGATCCTTTTCATTCACCTTTCAGTTATATATTTGGAGATATTGTAGATCAGGGCTTTTCAAACTTTTCACCCATTGTACCACTTTTAGGATATGGCAACATCCGAGTACCACCAGTCGCCTAGCAAAGTGTCAAAAACTTGATGACCCCCCCCCAAAAAAGGAAAAAAGTGATAAAGTACAGGTAGTCCTCAACTTACAACAGTTCGCTTAGTGACTGTTTGAAGTTACAGTGGTACTGAAAAAAGTGCCCCCCAAGCCACAGCCGAGCAAGACACCTGCCTGCCCACCCGGTGGCGCTCTTCCTCCTGTCCAAGGTTTTCGTTGTGAGCATTTCTGTTGAGGATTGGCAGCGGGGGTGGAGTGGGGGGTGTTTGGTTTTTATTCCCCCCCTCCCGTCTGCTGGGTGGTTGCAGCAGGTTTTGGTCACTGCACATGACCCTGGGACACTATGACCGTCATAAATATGAATCAGTTGCCAAGGGTCTGAATATAAATCACAAGACCCTGGAGATGCTGCAACATTCCAGCTGATCGGCACTTCTTCTGGGCTCAGCAGAAGCACCAGGATCAGTGCCAAGCTCTAGCTGAAGCCTGGCGCTGATCCTGGCGCTTCCGCTGAGCCCTGACAGCCCTGCAGCTCCAGCCGTCTCTCGCTCAGGCTTGTGCGGTGCTGCCACCGGTTCAGCTCATTCCCCTCCCCCACTATCACTTTTCTAGGATGGTCACGTACCACCTGCCAGGTGCCAATGTACCACAGGTGGTACCCGAACCACTGGTTGAAAAGCGCTGCTGTAAATAAACACACAGGCAATCATCCAGATAGACAGATAATATATTAAGCTAGGAAAAACCAAAACCCCCGGTGATAATAACTTCTGACTGTAGTAATTAGGGATTTTTTTAAAAAAAAAAACCCTTTCAAATTTATTTTTTGTAATGTGAAAATTTATCTCTGACAATTGTTTTTAAATATGAAAAGAGTTGAGTACGAAATAATCTTTTTCTATATGTTCTGTTGTGGTGTTGGCTGACAAGATGTGACCACATTTTTATTTATTTTTTTGTAATTCATAGAAATGGAGATAAAGATGTTAGTAAGGATTGTGACAAATTAATCATATTTGAGTTCTCATTACTTTTTTTCTTTTTTTTCTTTTCTTTTTTTTTTAGGATTCTTTTCACCATGGAAAACTCCAAAGCCTGTAAGTTTAGTTTAGTTTTGTTTTGTTTCAAATTGAACTTTGCTGAGAAGAACATAATGCTTGTACAAAACAATAACCTGCATTGTAAGATTTTTAGGGTACCCTACTGCCAAATATAGGAATATAAATCTGATATGTCAATAAAGGTATTTGATCATATACATATACTTGTTGACTTGAAAGCAAATATTTCTTACTGGATTTAGTGATACTGATCTATGAAGCAATGTACACATACATTTGCTGTAAAAATTGGCCTGCCATTTGCTTCCCACTGTCCATGTGGAGACATGGCTACTTGGCAAATGTGCAGTCAAAAACAATTAAAAGAAGAAATGTAGATAGATAACAAGAGAGAGAGAGAGAAGATATAAATAAATGATGAATATAGATATAGAGAGATAATACTATAGAGGGTAGAGAGATATATAACTAGATAAATAGATAAATGAGATGATAAATATAGATATAGAGAGATATAGAGAGATAATACTGTAGAAGGATAGAGAGATAGAAAAATAAGTTGATAAATAGATAAATGATAGGTGATAAATATATAGATCAGGGGTTTACAAATTTAGCAACTTTAAGACCTGTGGACTTCAACTCCCAGAATTCCTCAACCAGCCATGATGGCTGAGGAATTCTGGGAGTTGAAATCCACAAGTCTTAAAAGTGCCAAGTTTGAAGACCCCTGATATAGGTATAGAAAGATAATACTGTGGAGGGATAGAGAGATAAAGAGAGCGATAAGTAGATAAATAGAGGATAGATGATAAATATAGATATAGAGCAGTGGTTCTCAACCTTTCTAATGCCGTGACCCCATAATACAGTTCCCCATGTTGTGGTGACCCCCAACCACTTATACATCACCGGATGCCAGGGGCATGGCCAAAGAAAAGGGGGGAAAATGGCAGACAGCCTTGTTTGGCGACCCCCGTGAAATGGTTGTTCGACCCCAAATGGGGTCCCGACCCACAGGTTGAGAACCACTGATAAAGAGAGATAGAGATAAGTAGATAAATAGATGATAGATGATAAATATAGATAGATATATAGAGAGAGATAGAGAGAGATAATATTGTAGAGGAATAGAGAGAGATATATAAGTGGATCGATAGTAGACAGACAGATATGTGGGTGTGTGTAGGTGTGGGTGTGGGTGTATATGAGAAAGAGGGAGAGGAAGAGAGACCGAGAAAGATTAATAAATAGAAGATTAAAAGAGGTTTAAATCAATTAAGGTTGAGATAAAAATTCTCCAAAATTGAACCAGTGGATTGTAAGACCTTGGAGACTGCGAATTCTGGTCATACCTTGGTATGAAGCCAGTTTGTTGAACGTGACCCAATCACTGAGCAAAGCAAGGGCAAACCACTTCCCAAAAATGTTGTTCTTAAAAATGGCAGGGATATTGGGGGACACATGAGCTGAAGGCACCAAATAATTGAATGTCTATCGCTCTTAATGTTCAACTCATAGGCTACAAGAAGTGGAATCACTCTCTTAACTTTCTTCCAGGAAGACTTGAATTGATCTACAAGAGCAAGCCGGACTAAATAACCACACCCAACACCCCAATTTTAATTTCAGCCAGTATCTCTGGACACGGAGTTGCACGCCAGCCACTCTAAAAAAAGATCATAATTCAAATTTTAGTATACCCTTTAAGACGAATTGGACAGCATGGCACGTGGTTCCCATAAATCCCAGACAACTTATATTTTTATAGCAGGAGAATTATGTATCATAGAAGATATTATTTTGCCAGACAGCAAGACGGTATCACCTGATTTGAGAAAGAAAAAGCTACGGAGTTTATCTGCATGCTCTGAAGGTCTTGTTTTCTTTTATTTATTGTAGATGATGGAAAAATGGGAAAATCAAGGCAGTCCACAGACCAGTTTATCTGCTCCAGCTGGGCCACAGAATATTCCCTTCCCACCAGCCCTTCACAGAAGCTCTTTCCCCGATTCAACAGAGGCCTTTGACCCGAGAAAGCCTGACCCATATGAGCTGTATGAGAAGTCACGAGCTATTTATGAAAGTAGGCGTAAGTGGAAGACATGGTCCACCTCTGCAGAGACCTTGACTATTCAAATTAGCCGAATGTCTATGGAGATTCTCAGTCATTCATGCCTGGTTGTCCCAAAGGTGCTTTTTAAAAAAGGCAACTGGACTTTGTTTCTCCTTGGTTTCGCTTCTCATCCAAGAAACTTCTTCAGTTCTCCAGCTCAATTATTCTATCAGAGCTGAAGAAGCTACGTGGATGGGAAGCGAAATCTCTTCAAGGAGAAACAAAGTCCAGTTGCCTTTCGAAAAAGCACCTTGGGGACATTCAAATTGGCCCCGTGGAATTGAGCGTTGTAATTCACTGTAAACCAGTTAACAACTTTTATTTATTGTGGATATCAGGAGGAGAAAAAAAAAAGCTTCATGCATTTTCTTAAATTGGCTGAAAGCACCCCTCATGATGAGTTTCAGTAGGAACAGATGGGGAACGATACGGTTAGAAATATACTCTGTATAGCCCTACAGAACAGACAGTGCACCGTCCACATGTGCTTTTCTCCTTAACTGCTGGAAGGAAGCAGGAAACTTTATATACAGAGAAAATTATGTCAAGAATGCAACTACAAATTTAGAAACACTGCCATCTACTGGTTGACTATAGTTGTTGCACAAAATACATGAACATTTAGTTCCAATGGAGGCAACAGCCATGTCTGCTGATGTTCATCCTTTGCATGTGTGTAAATTGGTGCTTTGTGGAGATCGCTTGCTTTGAGCCCCCCCCCCCTCCAGCAGTTAAATCAAAAGTCTTCATAATGATCATAGACCATCATAGACCACTAAATGTCGGAATGGTTTCACAATGCAGTTTGCCTTTGCTTTATGCATACAGAATGTTTTTGTGGGGTTTTTTTTCCCAGTATTCACTTGAAAATGATGCCATTGCTTTAGATTTAGATTATGAAATGTGTTTCCAACTAGTCTATTATATAGTCTGTTATATAGTCTGTTCATAGAGGCCATATATATTGGAGGCTAAACCAGAGGACGAATAGTTGCAGGAACTGTGAATATTTAGTCTAATGAAGAGAAGAACTAGGGGTGACATTATAGCAGTCTTCCGATACAGGCTGTCCTCAACTTATGACCACAATCGAGCCCAAAATTTCTGTTGCTAAGCAAGACAGCTGTTAAGCAAAACTTGCCCCCATTTCACAACTTGTCTTGCCGCAGTTAATAAGTGCATCCCTGCACTTGTGAAATTAGTAACATGGCTGGTAAATGAATCTGTCTTTCCCATTGATTTTGCTTGTCGGAAGGGCGCAAAAGGGGATCACATGACCCCGGGATGCTGCGACTGTCATAAATACGAGAAAACAGTGATGTTTTCTCTTCCGTGAGCTTCTGGGTGGTTCATTCTGCAATTTGCAGGAATTCAAATCTTTCTGTGCCTCCTGGCTCTTATGCTTCCCTCTCCTTGGAACAGTGATGGCGAACATTTTAGAGACCGAGTGCCCAAACTGCAACCCAAAACCCACTTTTGCATCATCGGGTGACGGGGGGTGTGGCCTATTGGCTGGGTGTGGCCTATTGGGGGTGTGTGGCCCATTGGGTGGGCGTAGCTGCAGTGGTAACGGCAGACTGGGTGGGACTAAAAAGTTCAATCAATCAATTCCAACTTTGCAAGATCTTTTTTTTCCCACGAGAAGTTGAAATTGACTGATTGATTGAACCTTTTTTTTTTGCACACGGCAGCGGAGGCCTAAAGCAAAAAGGTTTTATAAAACCCAGCTGAAGGCCTAGGACTGGAGTGACAGTGTGCGTGCCCACAGAGAGGGCTCTGAGTGCTACCTCTGACACCCACGCCATAGGTTCACCACCACTGCCTTAGAAGTTATTCCCAGGAGAAAAATGTCTCGCTGATTTTGCAGTCACGGGACAGATGAAAGAGCGAGGGAGACGGAGAGACCCCGAAAGAGAAATTAAATCAGATAAATGAATGCAGCATTTGCAATGAGGAGGGGGTATAAGATATTGTTTTATCCCCTTTTGTGAGGGCATTTCTGTTTCTATAAGGCAAAGGTCCCCAACCTTTTGGGCACCAGGGACCGGTTCCATGGAGAGAGGTTTTTCCACAGACCGGAGAGTGCGTGGTTTTGTGTGCTACCTGCATCCCACAGATGGGGCTTTGCTTGTTTGTGAGGACCGGTTGCTGGCATGCCACGGCCCAGTACCGGTCCATGGACCAGGGCTTGGGGACCCCTGCTGTAAGGTACTAGCAGTTCAAAGTAGGAATTTCTGCTTCTTGTTTTCTTTATTTGAGGTCAACAGAAGCAAAAACAATGACTTCAGTCCTTTTGAGTAAGTGGGGATTAGGAAAGGTGACTTGGAAGTATCCCATTGATTGACTTTGACTTCTAAGCATAGACTTCCCTAATAAGGCAGTGTAAGGCAGAGGTCCCCAACGTTTTATATATATATATATATATATATATATATATATATATATATATATATATATATATTCTGAGGTTTTCGCGGGTGTTTGTATGTAGGTCTTTGGTTGTTCGGGTTTTCTCCCGCGTAAAATTGGAAGTGTCTTGGCGACGTTTCGACAAAGTCCCATTCGTCATCTTCAGGCTGGTGTTTTCAGCTTCGTGCTTCGTGCTCTTCGAAGCACGAAGCTGAAAACACCAGCCTGAAGATGACGAATGGGACTTCATCGAAACGTCGCCAAGACACTTCCAATTTTACGCGGGAGAACACCCGAATAACCAAAGACCTACATATATATATATATATATATATATATATATATATATATATATATACCTAATTTTTTATTTTTCCAAACTCTCCCCCATACATATACCGTGATATTTATCAGATGTTAACATACATTCTTTTTACATTCATATATAAGATACTTTTAATAAAATGAAATAAATACATACACATGACTTTTGGTGTTGCTCGCCCATTTCCCCTTTCACTGTATCCACACTCCTTCTTCTCTACCTTCTTTCTCCCTTTCTTCTCTTCCCTACTTCCCTCTTCTTCCTCTCCTCTTCTCTTTCCTTCACCACTCTCCTCCCCTTTCTCCCCACTTCTCCTCTTCTCCTCCAACCTTCCTACTTCCTTCTCCGCTCCTTTACTCTTTTCTCTCTCCTCTCCTTTCTTCCCTCTCATCCCTCTTCAGATACAATTCAGGGGTAATGTTCGAGCAACTCCAGGTCCCCAACCTTTTGGGCACCAGGGACCGGTTCCATGGAGAGAGGTTTTTCCGCGGATCGGAGGGGGAGTGGTTTTGTGTACTGCCTGCATCCTGTGGATGAGGCTTTCCTTGTTTGTGCGGACCGGTTGCTGGCACGTTTGGCTGAATTGGTGCCCAGAGGCCTCTGTGAAGACACAGTGAAGTTGTGATTGCACAAATGGTGCAATTGTGTAAATGGCATCTCACCCAACTACATAAGCGACACCCTTTTTGATTCTAATGTCATCCCATCTGGACCAACAAGTCCACCAATTGGATACAGAGGTCCAATAAAGATAGAACTTGCTTCTCCCATGGGACAATAATTTCATGTGTTATTTTCTGACCTTTCAAACATAATAGAAGAATGATAGAATGATATCGGTTCCCTGGATTCTGCTGTGCAATCAATACGTGTAAATATTTTGGCCAGTTTGGGAACCCATCAATCAATACAGCCCAGGAACAATTCTGAAATTAAATCGCCCACAGCAGTTCTAGCTGCTGCTGCTGCTGCTGCTGCTGCTTCTTCTTCTTCTTCTTCTTCTTCTTCTTCTTCTTCTTCTTCTTCTTCTTCTTCTTCTTCTTCTTCTTCTTCTTCTTCTTCTTCTTCTTCTTCTTCTTCTTCTTCTTCTTCTTCTTCTTCTTCTTCTTCTTCTTCTTCTTCTTCTTCTTCTCTTCTTCTTCTTCTTCCTCTTCTTCTTCTTCTTATCTCCTCTTCCCTCCTCCTCTCCTCCTCCTCCATCCTCTCTCCTCCTCCTCCTCTCCTCCTCACTCTCCTCCTCCTCTCTCCTTTTTCCTCCTCTTCCTCTCCTCCTCCTCCTCCTCCTCCTCTCTCTTTTTCTTCTTCTTCTCTTTCTTCTTCTTTTCTTTTCCTCTTCCTCTTCTTCTTCTCTTCTTCTTCTCCTCTTCCTCCTCCTCCCTCTCCTCCTCCTCCTCCTCATTACCTCCTTCTTCTTCTTCTTCTTCTCTCCTCTCTCCTCTTCTTCTCCTCTTCTTCCTCCTCCTCCTCCTCCTCCTCCTCCTCCTCTTCTTCTTCTTTTTCCTCTTCCTCTTCCTCCTCCTCCTCCTTTTCTTCTTCTTCTTCTTCTTCTTCTTCTTCTTCTTCTTCTTCTTCTTCTTCTTCTTCTTCTTCTTCTTCTTCTTCTTCTTCTTCTTCTTCTTCTTCTCCTCCTCCTCCTCCTCCCTTTCCCCTCCTCTTCCTCCTCTCCTCCTCTCTTCTTCTTCCTTCCTCTCCTCCTCCTCCTCTCCTCTTTCTTCTCTTCTCCTACTTTTCTTCTTTTCTTTCTTATTCTCTCTTTCTTCTTCCTCTTCTTCTCCTCTTCTTCTTCTCCTCTTCTTCTTCTCTTTTTCTTCTTCTTCTTCTTCCTTCTCCTCTTCTTTTTTTCTTCTTCTTCCTATTCTCCTTCTCCTCTTCTTCCTTCTCTCCTTCCTCCTCCTCCTCTTCTTCTTCTTCTTCTTCTTCTCTCTCCTCTTTCTTCTTCTTCTTCTTCTTCTTCTTCTTCTTCTTCTTCTTCTTCTTCTTCTTCTTCTTCTTCTTCTTCTTCTTCTTCTTCTTCTTCTTCTTCTTCTTCTTCTTCTTCTTTTTCTTCCTCTTTTTAAGCTGAGAAGTGTATTTTCTAGCTTCAAAGGGACACACAGAAGCACAGAGAGAGTGGTGTCTACAAGGCAGATAGCTGATCTTTGTAAATAATATCATCTCTGAAAAAAATTCAAATCTTCCCTAGCTGGGAAGGTGCCAAATATCTTAGAAAGGCCTTGGGGGGGGGGATCTGTTGAATAAAATGCCAGATTGCAGGCTTTTATTTTTTTTTTCCTCCTCCATAATTCCAGATGATTTATTTTGCCTTTTACTAAAGTTTTCTATGGAACAGAATAGAATAGAGCTGGAAGGGACCTTGGAGGTCTTCTAGTCCAGCCCCCTGCTCAAGCAGGAGAACCTACACCATCTCACACAGGTGATTGTCTAGTCTCTTCTTTAAAATCTCCAGTGATGGAGCACCCACAATTTCTGGAAGCAAAAGCTGTTCCACTGGTTGATTGTTCTCACTGTCAGGATGTTTCTCCTCAATTCCACGTTGCTTCTGTCCTTGATCAGTTTCCATCCATTGTTTCTCGTCCTGCCCTCTGATGCTTTGGAGAATAACATGACCCCTTCTTCTTTGTGGCAGCCCCTGAGATATTGGAACACTGCTATCATATCTCCCCTGTTTCTTCTTTTCTTTAGACTAGCCAAACCCAAGTCCCACAGCCGTTCTTCGTATGTTCGTATGTTATGGAGACCCATTGGTACTTCAATACTGGGCTGTACAAGATACGTTGTAAGAGGCTTACCTCTCAGGAGTAACACTAGATCAGTGGTTCTCAACCTGTGGGTCGGGACCCCATTTGGGGTCGAACGACCATTTCACGGGGGTCGCCAAACAACGCAGTCCGCCATTTTTTTCCCCTTTTCCTTAGCTGTGCTATTCCCTTTTATTCTATTGGCTTTTGAAAGCCAATAGAATAGACTCTCTTGAATAGAGTCTAATTCTATTGGCTTTCAAAAGCCAATAGGAATTGTCCAGGCTGTCTCTGCCCTGCTGAGCCCGCCAAAAGTCCCAGTCTGCAAACGGTGCTGCACCAGTGGAGTAGTCCTCGACCTACGACCGGTTGAGTAGTCCTCGACTTACGACCGGTTGGGGGTCGTGGCATTAAAAAGGTTGAGAACCACTGCACTAGATAGAGGTGGAGGGGGGGGAAGCTTTTAAGTCCAAAGATTTTCCCAAGTTACTCTTCATTTCGGGGTGAGAGAGTTCCTCCTTGGGACAAAATATTTGGGTGGGTTGTAGGATCTGAGGACAAACCCAGAAGCATTTTCAGAGACGTCGGTAAAAATGTCAACACAAGAGAAAAAGCGCTGCGGATGTGATGCGATTCTGATTCCTGACAAGGAGGATTTTTATGCCAGTGGGAAGTGTCAGTTTTGCAGTTGATCGCTCTATTAAGGGCTGCCGCGATCTCTTAAAATATCTTAATTTTTTTAAGAGTCGTTACTTGCTTTTAGAAATTCAGAGATTTGGGAGGAGGGGCTGGTTGTTGTTTTTTTGCTCACACCCCCATTCCGAAAGAGAAAGAGAATTTTTTTAAGCTTACATTCTACTGTACAAGTAAACTTTCAACAGCTTATTTAGGGACCGCTCAAAGTTACAACGGCACTGAAAAAAAGGGGCTTGTGACTGTGTTTCCCCTTTGTAGTATCCCTGTAGTCACGTGATCAAAATTCAGATGCTTGGCAACTGACTTGTACTTATGACTGTTGCTGTGATCCAAGGTCACGTCATCACCTCTTGTCACCTTTCGACAACGGGGGAAGCCAGAGTCACTTAACAACCGTGTTGCTAACTTAACCAATGTGATGATTCACTTCACAACGGTCGTAAAATGTGAGCAAAACTCACTTTGAGAAATGTCTCCCTTAACGACAGAAAGTGGGGGCTCAGTGTCATCCATCCATCCATCAATCAATAAACTGCAAAATAATATCAAAAAAGACCCCTTTCTTTTATATATATATATATATATAAAACAAGTTTTATTAATTTTTCAATTTTACATCCAAGTATTTAGGAAGCAGCGTGGTGATTGCGTAATCAATAGTCCAGCAACAAAATCTTTCGTGCATATCTCAGGTTGCGTCCTTAAAAATTCCCTCTCTATTTCCTTTAATTATTATATCACATTCAGGTTGATCCATTTTCTAGTTATAGCTCAATCGGTCAATACATTTGTCAATATGATTTTACTTATACATATCCAAGTCCTGTTTTTAAGTTTTACCTAATTTCAATTACCGTGTAGTAACCATAATATTTAAACTTTGGGTAACTCAAGTTTTCCTAACTTCATTACAAAATAGTTGTATCTAAAATAGACATATTGTTCGGATAATTACATTCTTACTTTATTTCACAAGTATATTCTATTTCTTGTCCCTTTCATTTACTTCACAATACTTTTTACCTGCTTTTGGAAAAAAAACCTGTATTTAGAAACCGATAAATAATTTTTCACTCTCCTAGTGGATAGAGAAGCATGAAGAATGAAGTCTGTCCATTCCGAAGTGCGAAATTAAGCATTTACTGCCGAGGCAGACAATAATACTGTATATTTCAGGTTCTGGAGAAGTGTACATTTTGCCTTTAACGCCCTGTTTTTTCATTCAGAACAAGCCCCACCCAGGCCAGGTGTTCGAATGGATACCTCAGGCAAGTATTATTTTGCCTTCATTGTGCTACCCATCCTGTCTCCATTTGGTGATGTGCCTCATTAAATCTCAGTTTACAGCCACCGTCACCCATGCATAGCCAATTGCCATCCCATGGAACATTGTGTTTATGTTTTTCAACTTAACTGCGCAAAGAATGTCCATTTAATCCAGAAACACTAAACATCCTTCTCTAAACTCACCTATTACTTCATCCAGCACATTCCACTATCATATTTACATGAAAAAATGTTTTCATCTATCAAGTTTCTAAAAATAATGCCCACAATCCATCATATTTGCCTTTCTCAATTGACAGGAACACCAAATATAGAATATGTTTGTTTGCCCGATTGTTTTTAGGGTGTATGATATTATTGTTTATTACTTTATATGTTATTCCAATCCGTTGCATTTTATTCCACTTTAAGCTGCTGCATTTTGAACCTATTTCCCAGGTTACTATAGATGTGGGATGCAGGTCTCATTATAGATAAAATGGCAGAATATGTAATTATAAGGGTCTTCAACAAAATTTAGAGAGGTTTTTATTTATATGTTGGCTATAGGTGTCATTTTTAGCTTTACCTGTGTTTTTGCTTAGTTTTTAGTATTAATTTATCAATAGATTTAAATATTTAAAAGTGCACTAAAATTTTCAATGTTTTCTCAATATAGAGTGCAATTATTTTAATGTTGAAGTCTTTTAATGCTGACCTTCAAGTGATTTACCTGCTTTGTTTTATTTATTAATCAAATTTACGTGGCCAGCCATCTCACAGAATGTGACCCTGGGCAGCGTATAACGATTTATTTAAATAAAATAGAAGAATGTATGGATAGGTTCTGTAAAAGATCAACTACCTCCATGGTAATGTTGCAGCTGTCTCACAATTTGGTAGTTGCAAAATCTTAACTGCATAATTTCATCTGTTAATATTTTTATCTGCTGTGTTTTTTTAACGATGGACGTTCTTAATTTTTTTTTTTTTTTTTGCAATGCTTTTACGTTGTAAGCAGCCCAGAATTGTTGGATACGAGCTGGGCTAAAAAATATATTTCATAAATAAATTAATAACTGCCACAATCCCAAGACAGCACCATTTTTTAATTTGGCATGGAACACCCTATTTACAAAACCTACATAGCTTGACAAACCCGTGGCCGTATTTATTCACTTGAGAAAGAGTGTATATTTACATTATCTGAAAAGATCCAGATTTCTTAAACTGAACTTCTGCTCTCTTGCATGTAAATCTTTCCTTAAAAAAATCTATAGAGCTTGCCCTTGGATTTTTTTTTCTTTAAGGGCTTAGGCCTAAAGTGCTGTAGCAGTATTATAGATAAACTCTTATTGATCAAGTGTAGGATAGTGGAATGTTGATTGGGCTAATAAAAGTTGACATTCAACAATTTCTGGAGGAGCACAATGTTTGCAGTCCTGAAGCAAATCAATCCCACCGAAGCAGGTATCCAAATCCATTTTCTAGGGCAGGAGTGTCAAACTCAATTTCATTGAGGGCCGCATCAGCATTGCGGTTGCCCTCGGGAGGGGCGGGGATGTGTGGCCACGGTGGGTGTGGCCTACTGGGTGGGCGTGGATGGAGTAGGTATGGCCTACTGGGTGGGCATGGCCAGCTCTACATCGTTCACGTCAAGGGTGCCTGTGGGGGTCAGGACAGGAGTGGGACAGATCTGAGGGTCTCTGGCAGAAGGGGGTGGGGACCGGGGCAAGCGCCAAGGCACGATCCATTTCTTCATTCCTCACAAAGGGGGACACCTCCCCAGCATGCACTCAGGGGGTTGGGCCAACACGGCAGGAGCTGATTCCTCGCTGTTTCCAGACGACCTTGTGGAGCTAAGACTGAATGCGTTTCAGCCTAGATGGCCACCACAAAATTGTACATTGGCTCCCGGCCAGCCTGGGCCAGGGCCATAGCAGCGGGGGCCGTTTCCTCACTGTTTCCAGGATGGCTTCGTGGGCCACATGAAACCACTTCACGGGCCGCATCCGGCCCCCGGGCCTTGTGTTTGACATGTCTGTTCTAGGGAATGGTTTGCTAATTTGAAAAAATGAGGGTGTTCCAAGAAATTCAATCCCGTGATTTTTTGATACGGTTGTGTGGCCATTGCTGCATGTCTATGGAGATTCTCAGTCATCCAGGGCATAGTCATTCCAAAGATGCTTTTTCAAAACACAACTGGACTTTTGGTCCAGGAAGTTTCTCCTTAATTCCAGGTAGCTACTCCCCTTGATTAGTTTCCATCCATTGTTTCTTGTCCTGCCCTCTGGTGCTTTGGAAAATAAGTTGACCTCCTCCTCTTCAAATACTGAGAGATTTTGTTTTTCCTTGAAGATGTTTCATTTCTCCTCCTTCTTCAGTTCTGTTAGAAGTTCCGTGAGAAGTCACAAGTGAGAAGCTTCTTGGATGAGAAGTGAAACATCTTGAAGGAAAAGCAAAACCTGTCAGTATTTGAGAGGTTGCCCCAAAGAGGAGGGGGTCAACTTATTTTCCAAAGCACCAGAAGCAACCTGGAATTGAGAAATACAGTGAGGACAATTAACCAGTGGAACAGCTTGCCACCAGAAGTTATGAGTGCTTCATCACTGGAGGTTTTTAAGAAGAGACTGGACAGAAACGTGTCTGAAATGATATAGGAAATGATATATAAATGCTTTAGCAAGCTGTTGGACTAGAAGCCCTCCAAGGTCCCTCGTAGTTCTTTGATTGATTGATTGATTGATTGATTGATTGATTGATTGATTGCCTTTTGAAAAAGCACCTTTGGGACATCCATAACAGGAAGTTTTACCTTGGGGTGTTTATTCTTCCCAGAGTTACAGGGCAAATATAAATGCCGTGAAGACCACATCTGATATTGGATGCATACATATTTACACATATGCACAAAGGCAGGGCAATTTCAAAAATTAATCAAAAAAGGTCCTTTGGAATTTGCTCAAAAGGCAACCTGTCCTTCGTTCCTTAGAGCAGCTGAGTCTTTTTTTTTTTTTTTTGTAAGTTCGTATACAAGGCAGAAATCAGCTCTCAATAAACTACTCTCTTCAACCAGGTTCCGATTACAAGGAATTAGATGTTCACCTTCGGAGAATGGAATCCGGATTTGGCTTCAGAATTCTTGGAGGAGATGAACCAGGACAGCCAGTAAGTTGATTTTTAACAATTTTACACTGTTGGGTATCTGTAGCTGTCGGGAGTATATACTTGGATAACCGCTGTAGCGAAATGGCATTTTTAAACTTGTTCGCATGTTGAAAAAAAGCAAGCCTCTTGAGTGATCAGCATCTCCATCTACAAGCTGTCATTGTGAGTCCGTCTGTATTATGTTACCGAGAGTATATTGTCCGGTTTCTTTTTTTTCTTGGCATCTTTCAAAACAAATGCTGATTTACAAGCTCCTTCAAGTAGATTTGACAACAAAACAGCACCATTGTGCTTTTACGTTTTCAGAAGAAAATGAACATCAGGCCTGGCTACAAAACTCTGGAAAAAGGGTTGTTGGAGAAGTGTACCGATGTTGGGATTTTGAGCTGTGTTGCAGCTCTCTGCTCGTCATTCATTCTTGAAAACCGTAAGCGTGCATCTTGAGACTCAGTTGCATTCGGAAATTCATAAAGTCGTGATTCGCAGTTATTCTTTGCCAGTGGTTTGCAGAAGCCATTCAAAATGTTTCCATCGGTTTTATTTCGATCACAGACCAGCAGAAAACTGCTAACATAACCACGACGCTAAAATAGAAATTAAAAATAATAAAAAAAATCATGTTGTCAGAATAAAATATGCGCTCAAGTCAGGAACACCGAGGCCCTTCCGCGTTGAAAGAGTTAGCCGGTGACATCACAATAATAATAATAATAATGATGATGATGATGATGATGATGATGATGATGATGGTGTTGGAAGGGAACTTGGAGGTCATCTAGTCCAACCCCCTGCTCAGGCAGGAAACCCTATACCATTTCAGACAAATGGCTGTCCAGTCTCTTCTTAAAAACTTCCAGTGTTGGAGCATTCACCGCTTCTGGAGGCAAGTTGTTCCACTGGTTAATTGTTCTAACTGTCAGGAAGTTTTTCCTTAGTTCTAGGTTGCTTCTCTCCTTGATCAGTTTCCACCCGTTGCTTCTTGTCCTGCCTTCAGGCGCTTTGGAGAATAGCTTGGCTCCCTCTTCTTTGGGGCAGCCCTTGAGATATTGGAAGACTGCTATCATGTCACCCCTGGACCTTCTCTTCATTAAACGAGACATACCCAATTCCAGCAACCGTTCCTTATATGCTTTAGCCTCCAGTCCCCTGATCATCTTTGTTACTCTTCTCTGCCCTCTTTCTAGAGTCTCAGCATCTTTTTTACATCATGCTGACCAAAACTGGATGCCGTATTCCAAGTGTGGCCTTACCAAGGCCTTATAAAGTGACATTAACACTTCACCTGATCTTGATTCTATCCCTCTGTTAATGCAGCCTAGGACTGCATTGGCTTTTTTGGCAGCTGCAGCACACGGCTGGCTCCTATTTAAGGGATTGTGCACTAAGACTCCGAGGTCCCTCTCACAGTTGCTACTATTTAGCAAGATACCAGCTATACTATACCTGTGCATTTGGTTTTTCTTGTCTAAATGTAGAACCTTACTTGCTAATGTCCTGCCCAGCGTTCCAATCACTCAAGCCACTATGCTTCTTAGATAGAATAAAATAAAATAACATCAGTCCTTCCAAGATAGACCAGGGTAGGAAACCAAAGTCATGTAGGCTAATGCTACAATATTGCAAGTCTGAATGAACTTCCTCTGTCTCCTTCTCCCTCCCCCCTTATTTTCATTTTGAACTAGGGAGGGTCCAGATTGAGATATTCACATGGTTACAGATCTGGCCCAGACTCAGATTACTTTTATCTGACCATGGTCTAAGTTGCAACTTTTCTTCCTGGTTATTCCTCTCACTCAGGGGTAGGCAACCTTGGCTCTTTTATGACGTCGACTTCAACTCCCAGAATTCCTGAGCCAGCATGGGGCAACTATGGCTTCTTCATGACTCGTGGACTTCAACTCCCAGAATTCCTGAGCCAGCATGGGGCAACTATGGCCCCTTCATGACTCGTGGACTTCAACTCCCAGAATTCCTGAGCCAGAATGGCTCAGCTTGGAAACCTCTCCCTTTCCCCTCAGTGTGGCTGGCTCAGGAATTCTGGGAGTTGAAGTCCACGAGTCATAAAAGAGCGAAGATTGCCTCCCCCTGCGTCTAGCCCATTACATCAGTACCGATGTACATAATTCCAAAACAAAACACCAAAAACAAACGAGGATAGTTTAATAAGATCATTTGGAGCTGATGGTGGTCTGCTGCCCGGTTCCCTGTTTATCTTTTATAGTCACCGTGCTCCAAGACTTTCCAAACTCTTAGGTGCCTCTTTGTCCTTGGTGACAAAGAATAAAAGAATGTCTTCCTTTCCGTTTTTTTATTTTATACTTTTCTTTTCAAAGGCGCACGGGATTCTTCAGCCTGGAAGACAAACATGTGTAGAATCTTTAAAAATAATGGGGAAGCCACCGCTTTGTGTAGAGAACCCCTCAGGATATACTTCTCAACTAAAGTCAGTTGTTCATCAAGGAATTTTGGTCGGGTGGTTAAAAAAAAAATGTCTGTGTTTTCACTGGAAAACGGAGCTGCTTTGGGGGTCATTAAGCTCCGGGATGTCAGCGCTAACATATTTGCCTACGAAGTCATCTAATACTATGCTCAGCATCCAAGACGCAGGCCTAATGGGGTGCTTTCGCTGCTGACTGATTTATACACACATCTCTGCTTCCCTTATGATATCTGTCAGTTTCATCAGGTGAAGAATGATTCCTCCGGAAATCGTTACTCATCTGATTCATCCTCTCAGTTGAGCTGAATACTCAGTCAAGGAGTATAATTATTATTTATTTTTGGCTACAAAAGCTGTCATACATACAGTAAACATTGGCTGTGCAAACACCTCAGGAGGCTTGATTGTAATCCTCGACTTACAACTGTTAGTGTCATGGTTCCGACAGATGAAACTCTTCAAAGACCTTCGAGGCATTGTTTACCTTAAAGAATCTTTATTCGAGTAGCATAGCTTCGGCACATACATAGTTGAAGCCAAAAACTGGATTCCCCTCCCCTGAGCACATAGTATCAAAGCACAATTCCCTCCTTCAACAGTCATAAATCACATTGTCCCATTAGTTTGAAATGTAGGCCTTCCCTCCTGTTCTGCTTCTCTGCCAATTCTTATCAGCTCTTATTTCACACACTAGTACAATATTGTTATGTCTAACTAATTCCCACCACATTCCGCCTCCTCCCCCAGCATCATCTAATTCTAAGAGTAAAGCATAAGAAAGAAAAAGGCTGCAGCTTCATATGTTGTCAAAGCAAGAACATCCAGTGTTAGCAGCATTAGTGACGGTTCAAAGTTACAACGGCACTGAAAAAAGTGACCTCTGACCATTCTTCACAGTTGCGACCTTTGCAGCATCCACAGGGTCACTGATCAAAATTCAACTGGGTTCACATTTATGACGGTCGCAGTGTCCCGGGGTCATGGGATCCCCTTTTGCGATCTTCTGATAAGCCAAGTCAACAGGGAAGCTGGATTCGCTTACCAACCAGGTTACTAACTTTTCAACCGCAGGTGAGGAAGGTCGTAAAATGGGGCAAAACCCGCTTAACAGCTGTCTCACTTAACAACAGGAAGGTTGGGCTCAATTGCGGTCGTAGGTTGAGGACCACCTGTATAAATAAACCATCAGAGATCAAGCACCTGTCCACAGAAGTTCGATATCACTTGACACACAACACTTTCTAATCAAGGCGATTCCCGAACGAAACAGGAATCCTTCTGAAATAACCGATCACTGCATCGTTCTTCACGGTCTTCATGATGTTCCTCATTGCTTAGGGACTTCTTTTCTCTTTTTGTAAGAAGACCCCTCCTCTGAAGAGAACCTGTTGTGAGAAAGAAGCAAAGTAACTTTCATAGTACTGTGGGGTCCTTGGTGCTCTCTGAGCTTGGTTGTTTTCTTGCAGACGTGTCATGACCCAACTAGGTAACATCATCAATGCTAATGGTGCTGATCAGTAGCACTGATGATGTTACCTAGTTGGGTCATGAAACTTCTGCAAGAATACTCAGAGAGTACCAAGGACCCCACAGTCCTCCTCCTCCTCCTCCTCTTCCTCCTCCTCCTCCTCCTCCTCCTCCTCCTCCTCCACTCTACAACCTCACTCCCTTCTAGCACTGATGATGTTACCTAGTTAGGTCATGAAACGTCTGCAGAAAACCAAGCTCAGAGAGTACCAAGGACCCCACAGTTATCCTCCTCCTTCTTCTTCTCTCCTCCTCCTCCACTCTACAACCCCACTCCCTTCTAGCACTGATGACATTACCTAGTTGGGTCATGAAACATCTGCAAGAATCAAGCTCAGAGAGTACCAAGGACACTACAGTCCTCCTCCTCCTCCTCCTCCTCCTCCTCCTCCTCCTCCTCCTACTCCTACTCCTACTCCTACTCCTACTCCACTCTACAACCTTACTCCCTTCTAGCACTGATGACATTACCTAGTTGGGTCATGAAACATCTGCAAGAATCAAGCTCAGAGAGTACCACAGACCCCACAGTCCTCCTCCTCTCCACAAATCCCGCTCCCTTCTAACACTGATGATGTTACCTAGTTGGGTCATAAAATGTCTGCAAGAAAACCACGAAGCTCAAAGAAACACCAGGATTCCACAATTCAACTCTGAGTCAACAAGTATGTTCTTCTATCGCTTTCGTAATACTGCTTCATTTATTTAATCATGTCACAGCTAAGGTCCTTAGATTTCCAACTCACACATTACAGTAGTCCATTACCAACCGTGCCAGCTCCCTTCCCCCAACTAGCATAGCAGTCAAAAAGCCAGGTTCTAAATTTAAATGAGATGTCAAAAGATAACAACACATTTCAGACAGAACATTTATTTCTCATCTATGGGAAGCAGAAACTTCTTTAATAGCACCCGTGTCTAATCAACGTTTTACAACATAAAACGTATTATCAGATTAAAATGGAGAGGAGCAAACCCTACAGGAGCAGACAGTTGCAATTATCTTGTCATGAAACCCTCAGGAGCTCACACACCACAACCACAATTTCTGCTAAAACAAGAGTCCTGAAGAAAGCAATTTCTCCAACTAGGGCACCGGCCGTAGGTTACCAGCACTAAATAAATCCTTTTAAACAGCCGAAATAGCTTTGTCCTGCAAACTCTGATCTTTCCAGTGTCCTAAACACTTACAGACTTAATTGCACGAGAGTTTATGTTTTTGAATTTTAAATCCGTCCTTTAAAAATAATTTCTTCGGGGCTGTAATTATTATACATGGGTCGCTATTCAGATCACGAATCCCAGCACTATTTAGGAAAAAAATGGACATTTAATTGCTTCAGAAAGCTTGAGTTGTACTAATTACAGATAGCCCACGACTTACGACAGTTCATTTAGGGTCCATTCAAAGTTACAACGGCATTGAAAAAAGTGACATGACTGTTTTTCAAACTTACGGCCGTGGCAGCATCCGTGAAGTTACGTGATCAAAATTCCGATGCTTGGCAACTGGCATGTACTTAGGACGGTTGCAGTGTCCCGGGGTCATGTGATTCCCATTTGTGACCTTCTGACAAGCGGGGAATCCGGGTTCACTCAGTAATCATGTTACTAACTTAACAAGTGCAATGATTTACTTAACAACTACTGTAAGGAAAGTCGTAAAATGGGGCAAAACTCACTTAACCGATGTTTCACTTAACAACATAAGTATTGGGCTCCCCTGTGGTCCTAACTTGAGGACTACCTCTATTAGGGAAGAGCCGTGGTGGTGACACAGTGGTTAGAATGCAGTACTGGCTAATTCTGCCGACTGCCAGCAGTTCGATTCCCACCAGCTCAAAGTTGACTCAGCCTTCCATCCTTCCGAGGTCGGTAAAATGAGGACCCAGATTGTTGGGGGCAAAAGGCTGACTCTGTAAACCGCTTGGAGAGGGCTTTGTAAAGCCCTGTGAAGCAGCATATAAGTCTAAGTCAGTGGTTCTCAACCTGTGGGTCGGGACCCCATTTGGGGTCAAACAACCATTTCATGGGGGTCGCCAAACCATGCTGTCCGCCATTTTTTTCCCTTTTCCCTAGCTGTCCTCTTATTGGTGGCCACACCCACTTGGGGGTCACCACAACATGGGGAACTGTATTATGGGGTCACGGCATTAGAAAGGTTGAGCACCACTGGTCTAAGTGCAATTGCTTAGTGCTATTGCTATTCTCTTTGGCTTCTATGAAGGATGACTCCCGAATCCAATTGCAAAAATACACACACACACACACACACACACACACACACACACACAAACAAAACCTGGACTGAAAAAAAAATGGAAAATTCTACCTACTCATGGCGGAGAACATTCTGGCTGGTTTCATATTTCCATTTCTCACCTCCCTTGTGTGTTCTAACGTAGATTCTGATTGGGGCAGTCATTGCGATGGGCTCGGCCGACAGAGACGGCCGCCTGCATCCTGGCGATGAATTGGTCTACGTGGACGGCATCCCCGTGGCTGGCAAAACTCACCGCTACGTGATTGATCTGATGCACAACGCAGCTCGGAACGGGCAAGTGAACCTTACCGTGAGAAGAAAGGCGCTACCTGCAGGTGAGCTGAAGGTTTGGAGAAAGGGGAAAGTATTAAGGAACTCGAAAGACAATGCAGAACATACTTAACGTTTCAACTTTCCTTTAGAGTCGTCCGTTGGTCCTGGCAGGTTTCCTCTTTCGTTGTTCTGTTGTTACCACTACAACCGTCTGGTTGGCTGTTGTGTTGATATCAGGGCTGTGTCTGTCTTTGGAACCAACTTGCCAAGTAGGATCACTTTGTTGTGATAGCACAGATCCATTGCCTACTCCACCCGCTCCTCTCCCCTTCCAAATGGGTGGGGACAGGTGTCAGTAGTCCAACTAGCGAACCTAACAAAAGGAACCTGCAAGGCAATTAAGTCCCCAAAGATAAAACTTTATTGCAGAGGTCCTCAACCTTTGGGGCACCAGGGACCGGTTCCGTGGAGAGAGGTTTTTCCGGGGACCAGAAGGTGCATGGTTTTGTGTGCTGCCTGCATCTCACAGATGGGGCTTTGTTTGTTAGTGGGGACCAGTTGCTGGCATGCTGTGGCCTGGTACCGGTCCATGGACTGGGAGTTGGAGACCCCTGCTTTATTGGATACACTATCTCAGAATTGACAAAACAAAACCAACTCTGAGTTTTCCCATGCTGAAGCTTGCTTAGTTAAACAATATTTTCCCGTGCCCCGCACCCAACGGGTTTTCACATTGTCCAATAGTAATACTTCTTTTTGTTATGGGAACAGTTCACTTCTCCATCGAGCACCTGCTGTAATGACCTTGGCGTAGTGCAGGCTCTCATGATCCGTGAACAGCTTCTTGTCAATCCATTTCCTCCCTTCGCTTTTGTCTCTTCCCCCCCCCTTCTAAGGCAAGTTGTTTAGTGATAGAAGCTAGCAGGCATCACAGCAATTCAATCTTGACAACAGGTAGTCCTTGTCTTATAACCATTTGTTTAGTTACAACCGCACTGAAAAAAGCGACTTATGATCATTTTTCACATTTATGATCATTGTAGCCTGGGCATGTGATCAAAATTTGGGTGCTTAGCCACTGATTCATATTTGTGACAGTTGCAGTGTCCTAGGATCATGTAATCAGCTTTTGTGACTTTCTGACAGACAAATTCAATGGGGGAAGACAAATTTACTTCACAGCCGTGTTGCTAGCTTAATAACTGCAGTGATTCACTTAACCAGTGTGACAAGGAAGGTTGTAAAATGGGGTGAAACCATTTCTCTGGGATGATATAAGGCAGTGGTTCTCAACCTGTGGGTTGGGACCCCATTTGGGGTCGAACGACCATTTCACGGGGGTCGCCAAACAACACAGTCCGCCATTTTCCCCCCCTTTTCCTTAGCTGTGCTACTCCCTTTTATTCTATTGGCTTTTGAAAGCCAATAGAATAGACTCTCTTGAATAGAGTCTAATTCTATTGGCTTTCAAAAGCCAATAGGAATTGTCCAGGCTGTCTCTGCCCTGCTGAGCCCGCCAAAAGTCCCATTCTGCAAACGGTGCTGCACCAGTTGAGTAGTCCTCAAGGAGATACAAGCTGCATATCACAGCCCAAACTGAGCTTATTCATGAAGTTTTTTTTTTAATTCTGCCCATTCTCTTTCCATAAAACTCTGCTGGAGTTTTCTGGCATACAGGTACACCTTGACTTACAACCATTCATTTAGTGGTCGTTCAAAGCTACAACAGCACTAAAAAAAAAGTGTATGACCGTTTTTCATACAACCATTGCAGCATCCTCCATGGTCAGGTGATCAAAATTCAGACGCTTGGCAACTGACTCATATTTATGACGGTCGCAGTGTCCCAAGGTCATGTGATCCCCTTTTGCGGACTTCTGATGAGAAAGTCAATGGGGGAAGCCAGATGTTCTGTCCCAGCCTACGTGAGTCCTTGTTAAGCTCACAAGGAGAAACCTCTCTTCCAACAAGCAGGCAGGAATCACAGGAAAAAAACGACCCCCTTTTATTATTCACAGACCTGAGATAATGTCCAAGGCAAACAAACACAGCTCACAGAAACTCGATCCTCAATACGAACGGCTGCCTTCGGCCACCAGCACCTCCCACACCTTACCTTTTTTTTTTTTTTTTTTTTTTTTTTTTTTATTAAAAGTTTTATAAATTTTACAAAAAAGAAAAAAGAATACAAAACAAGAAACAACATATACAAAAAAATAAAACTAAACAATACATATATATATAAAAAAAAAAAACCCCACCCCTCCCAAAAAAACCCCCCCCTCCCTTCCCCCCCCCCTGAGCTTCCCAGAGCAGAATATAGGCTTAAGAAGTAAAAATAAAAATTAAATTAAGAACTTTATATTTATATATATAAAAAGATTATCTATAATATATATAAAAATAAAACTTATGAAAAAACTATATAATATTTTTGTATACCCAATCTAAATTGTATAAATTTTATCCATTTATCCCAAACAGCAAGAAACTTCTCTTGCGTTTGTTGCTTTAAGAAAGCCGAAATCTTTGCCATTTCCGCCAGATAAGCTACTTTAAGAAACCATTCCTGCAATGTAGGCAAGGATTCCTTCTTCCAATATTGTCCTACTAACAGCCTAGCGGCTGTAATCAAATTTAACATCAAAACAACCTCCTTTGTATCACAATCTGTAACAATACCTAACAAAAATAATTGCGGAGTAAATTTTACCCTCCTTCTAAAAATTCTCTGGATATTCCACCATATTTTGATCCAAAATGCTTTTATCTCTCTGCATGACCACCAAATATGATAATAGGAAGCCTCCTTATAACCACATCTCCAACATTTGGGTTGCACGTCAGGGTACATATAAGACATTTTTTGTGGATCAAGGTGCCATCTATAAAACATTTTATAAAAATTCTCCCTTAAGTTCTGTGCTTGTGTAAATTTGACATTTCTCACCCAAATATTTTCCCAGGTGTCCAATGAGACTGGCTCACCAAAATTCTGCGCCCATCTTATCATACAATCTTTAATTAGTTCCGTTTCTGAATCCAATTCAACTAAAACCGCATAAATTCTCTTAATGTGGGTTTGTCTTGAATCCTTCACTTGCTTGATAAGATTTTCATCTTCTCTAAGAAAACCCACCTTACAATCCATCTTCCATCTGTCTAATAATTGCCTATATTGGAACCAAGAATAAATAAAGTTTTCTTGCGCTAACTCTTCCCGTGATTTTAATTGCCAGTTTTGTCCATCCCATTTAAGTAACTGTCTGTAAGACACCATATCCATTTTAACCCCTCTTTTTATTGCTTCTATCGCATGCCAAGGTATAGCCCATAATGGTACTTTGAAATCACTTTTATAATATTTTCTCCAAATCCTAAGTAAAGAAATTCTTAAGATATGAGATTTAAAAGCCCAATCCATTTTTTTATTGAATATTAAATAGGCATGCCACCCATAAAGTAAATCCCATCCCTCTAGATAAAGTATCTCAGAATTTGTCAAATTTACCCAATCACTGATTAGTGTTAAAACCACCGCATCATAATATAATTTCAAATTTGGTACCTTAAGTCCACCCCTCTCACGGAAGTCTTGCATAATTTTAAACTTAACCCTTGGCTTTTTCCCTGCCCAGATAAATTTATTAAGACCCTTCTGCCACTCATTTAAATTAATCTCATTTTTCAAAATTGGTAACATTTGAAACAGAAAAAGAAACTTGGGTAAAATATTCATTTTTATCACTGCAATTCTTCCCATGAGGGATAATTGCAACTTTTCCCAGTTCTTCAAGTCCTTCTGTACCCTGACCCACAACCTTTCATAATTATTTTTAAATAATTTTACATTAGAAACAGACAACATCACCCCCAAATATTTTACCTTATTAACAATCTCAAAACCCGTCAGGTTAGTCAAAATCTGCTTCTCCTGACTAGACATATTTTTAGGTAAAATTTTGGTCTTATTTACATTAATCTTAAAACCCGAGACCAAGCCATAATGATGAATCAACTGTAATAAGTTTACTACAGAATAATCAGGTTGCGACAAAGTAACAACCAAGTCATCCGCAAAAGCTCTTAACTTATATTCTTTTTTATTAACATATATTCCTTTAATTTCCTGAGACTCTCGAATTTTGATCAATAATATTTCCAATGTTAAAACAAACAACAATGGCGATAAAGGACACCCCTGTCTAGTACCTTTCTCTATTGTGAAAACCTCCGAAAGACCTCCATTAACAATAAGTTGTGCTGTTTGTTTTTGATATATTACCTTAAGGGCTTGTAATATGTTTTCACCAAAATTCATTTCTTCCATTACTCTTAGCATAAAATGCCAATTCAATTGGTCAAATGCTTTTTCAGCATCTAAAAATATGAGCCCTGCAGGAACTTGGTTGTTCTTATCTAAGTATTCTAATAGATTAATAATTTGTCTAACATTGTTTTTCATATACCTTCCTGTTATAAACCCTGATTGATCTTTATGCACAAGATGATGCACCACCCTCATAAGCCTATTTACCAAAATTTTTACAAATATCTTATAATCCACGTTTAAAAGAGATATAGGCCTATAATTTTTTGGTAAAGTAAGATCTTGATCCTCCTTTGGAATCAATGATATAAAGGCACTACGCCATGAAGGAGGAATCTCTAAACCCTGTAAGATACCATTAAAAAGATCATTTAATGGTTGGATCATCTCCTCCATTAAAGCTTTATAATAAACAGCTGTTAACCCATCCGTACCCGGTGCTTTCCCTAATTTCAATTGTTGAATTGCTGAGGCAATTTCCTCCTTAGTAATTAAGCCATTAATTTCATATTTCTGATCCTCAGTCAGTTTAGGAAAACTTGCCTCAGCTAAATATTTATTTATATCTAACAATTGTACATTAGTAGATTTATATAAGTTTTGATAATAATCCAAAAAAGATTTTTTAATTAATTCCTTCTGAGAAACTAGTTTACCCTTGTAATTTATTTTCTCTATTATTCTCTGTCTCTGTTTCTTTCTTAATTGATAAGCCAACCATCTCCCCGGCTT